TCTCTCTCTCTCTCTCTCTCTCTCTCTCTCTCTCTCTCTCTCTCTCTCTCTCTCTCTCTCTCTCTCTCTCTCTCTCTCTCTCTCTCTCTCTCTCTCTCTCTCTCTCTCTCTCTCTCTGTTTCTTCTCTCTCTCTCTCTCTCTCTCTCTCTCTCTCTCTCTCTCCGGAAGTTCTGCCTTCTCGGAAATGCAACGGGCACTCCTTCGTCCGCGCCGAGCGGACGGGCACTCCAAGGGGCACGCGTGTTACCTCCCGGTCGATCGATGCCGACTCCGCTCGAGCCGAGTCGAGTCGTGTCGCGGAGTGTCGCATGGACACACGACCGACTTTGCCGAGCACGAGGACAGGCGTGTGACGCCGTCGCGCTTCTGACGTTTCCAGGGTGGCTTCGACCGATCGGCGATTTTATTAGCCCCCCCTTCCCCCCGATCATGCGCTCTCTCCTACCGGTATTTGTTCCGCGCGAGGTGCACGCACGTAAAAAGCAAGCTGCATCGCGCGGGTGTGCGGACGGACGGGGGCGGGAAAGGGGACGAAGGAGAAAGTTAAGAATAGGAAGTATTTCGCGCGCTCTTTCATTGTCGCTCATTAATTAGCGGGGCGCGCCTGGGCTATCTTTAAGTTCGACGCGCGCGTCACTCGCGCATTCTAATCGAGTTGCTCGTGCAAGATCTAATCGAGATCTATTAATATCGTCCCTCCCGTGCGTCGGTGGCTTGACAGCTTCGCGGTAATTTTGCGCCGCGTGCGAAAAGTCTCCTCTCGAGACGCTCCCTCCGGCGAGAGGACGGCTCTCCTCTCTCTCTCTCTCTATCGTTCGAAGGGAATCGATAGTCTCGTCACTTGTCAGACGCGAGTTCGAAGGTCCATAACGCGACGGAGACGGACCGGGACGGGTCCCTTCCCTTCGCGGCCGTGAGGCGTCCGGGAGTCCCCGTGGGAGTCGAGACGCCCGCCGCTCGAGTCCTCGTGGGAGAATTCGAAGAATGCCGGGCGTAAAACACCTGGTTGAAAAACCCGTTCTGTTCCATTAAACGCGGATTGTGTGCCGCCGTGGCGGAGCGCGTCGCTATACATCCGCCTTTAAACGGCCCCGCACACGAGCTCGATCGGCCCCCCTTTGTTGCAACGGCAGACTTCAAAACGCTTATCGGACTATGAATAGACGCTCTGAATAGATTTTCTTTCAGCCGCTCGTTCCGCGAGGCCGTATCTAGTCTACGTTTACGCGCGTCAATGAACGCGGCGTTGGTTCGTTCGTTCGTTCTTTTCTATTTTGCGCTCCGAAAATTCTCGCGACCCCGCCGTGGTCCTCGCCAGTCTCTCTCATTGACGCCTCGAGTATCGCGTCTTCGCTCCGGGATCCTTTGCCAGTGCGTTCGTAAATAGCTCCCTCAAGTTGGCAGGACCGAATCAGCAAAATCGAATGCGATCTATTGGATTTTTTAGTACTTATTTTGTACTAATTTGTACCACCAAGAATAGCGACAACACCGAGGTAGACCTGTGCAGTTGCATTGTCATTTTTCTGTCTCACGCTGGGAGGCACGTTTCGAAGGTTTAGGGACGCAAAGAGACTTTTTCTTATTGATTTTCCGCGAAGCCTCCGATGGCCACGTTCGCTGCCCTATATTTATTCGGCGCGACGAAGCGCGTGCACGTTTCTCGTTGTCTCGCATCGAATTTCAGATCCTTCCGAGAATCCTCGGACTGGCTTTTCCCTTCCACTCGATTAGGAACGCAACGCCCTGCGGACCCTTTTCGGGCCGGAGCTAGGGACGCTCTTGCGATCGTTGTCTACACATATATATATATTTAGGTGACTCAATTCTCGAGTGTTCTTGTGAACATGCGGTGAAAGATAAAGACGCTTATCGACGTTATCGCGCTTTTTCTTCTCCGTCTACTCGACCAGCCACTCGGTCAACTTTGCATGCGCTCCGACGGCTACGTAAATTATCACATACTTGAAATTTATATAAGCTTTTTATTGGAAAGACGCGAAGACGCGCAGTTGCTCTTGTCTGCTTCAATTTTGCTCTGATATATACGTCCGATATCTTCATACATTTCAATCGGTCAGAACGGACACACGTCAGAAACGTGTTTGAGAGAAACAAAGATACTGTTTTATAAGAAATAGAAATTCTTTATCGTATCTGGCGATACTTTATTAAATTGCACAACGTTGCGACTGAGATTCCCGTCTTTCTCGAGTGAAAAGAGAGCGAGTCGCCAGATGCAAGAATCGCCAGATACGTCGAATAACTTTTATTTCAATTATCTTGAGATTATTTTGCGATTTGCATTTATTTTGTGTTAAAATATTACCGGAGTATTAGTGTGATCATTTGACATATCCATATTATGTTAAATTAACATGAAAATTTATGTGGACCGTTTAGGGCATGTGATATCTGTTAAATTAAACACAAATTTTTCAACTGAGTGTACACGGAAAAAACAATGTAGCTGCTGTAGCTAAAACTTAGCAAAATAGGGACAGCTAATATTTTTAGTAGTGATAGCTCAATATTTTGCTACTGTGCCTATTGTATTAGGTGCGACAGCAAACGGTTTGCTGTCGTAGCAAAATATTGAGCTATCACAACTAAAAATATTAGCTGTCCCTATTTTGCTAAGTTTTAGCTACAGCAGCTACATTGTTCTTTCCGTGTACACCAATGCCTACTAAAATGCCCGGTGGGCATCACTTTATCTCGCTTATCTTGTTTTATCTTATTTTATCTTTATAATGCCCCAGCACGGCCCAAACTAATGTTCAAAAAATGCCACAACTCAGCGGTTTACCCGTCGGTTTCCACTTAACAAATTCGTTGAACAAACGCGTCTGCCGTAGAGCGAGGAACATTGTTAAGGCGATTCCCGCCAAAAT